CTCAAATAGCCAAATAAAAAAGGATCTAAAAAAAACCTAGCCAAACCAAAAATTCTACATCCGTCCAAAAAAATCGACAGAGTAATCACTAAACTCCAAACAGGACATACCAACCTAAATAACCACCTCAAAATAATAAGAAAACACGCAACAGGAACCTGCCCACATTGCAAACAACAAGAAACCCAAGAACACGCACTCATACACTGCACCCACTACCTAACACACCGAACTACACTACAAACCACCCTAAATCTAAATAAGGCTCTTACTCTAGAAGCAATCCTAAACTCACAAAGTAAAATAGAAAAATTCAAGGCCTTAGGCGTATACTTAATCAAAACAGGACTAATAAATCGCATTTAAAACCCCAATAAACTACCAAAACCAAACCACATAATCAAACTAACAAACTTCCATAATCAGCTCCCTAAGTTCGCCCCCCAAATCCTCGTGGCATTTTTTCCAAATCTCAAAATTTCCAAAATTCTATATAAGCTACCACTAAAACACCCATACTGGATTGCCAAACAACGTTTTCCCCTTTTCGGAAACACATTAAATGGCCTGGCCGGGCCCGTGTGCGAAATACGCTGCAGTCGGAAAGCGCACGTAAAATCTCCAATATAAGTAAGTAAATCACAAAGAAGAATAAAGAACGAAGCGTGGTTTATTTCATGATAAAACATTGTTCGAGCATGACGTCATATCTATAGATTCGAACATGCGCTCGCAACTTGATAACTTCGTATATTGGACGACGTTATTTTTGAGAGCGGCGAGTTTAGTGAGTTGTTCCCCCTAGATGTATTTGGGTACCGCAAACGAACGCAATTGCAATGGCCGAACGATCGCATCCAAAAGTGAGAGAGATATCACAATCAGTATTGAGAGAAAAGGTGCAGATAATCGACGTGAAAATTGTGAGAATACCAAACTTAACTCCCCTGTACATAAAATGGACTTGTCCGACATTGCCGAGGTCGGATTGTATTCTGGGAGTCATTATTATTTAAATACGGTTCAATGTTTTTAGAGCTTGTACAATTTATTGACATCCTTAAAAGGGCTGTAGAAAGGGTTGATATCGCATATAAGAAATAAGACCGCCTCCGTGGTCTAGTGGTAGAGCGTCTGCCCGGGAGCGCGCGGAATGTCCGGGGTTCGATCCCCGGCCGCATCTTACCAAAAGACGTTAAAAGATGGTACTTGTTGTTACCCTGTCTGGCGCTCGGCATTAAGGGGCTAAAACAAGGACTGGTCGTCTCGGAGTCAGTATACTGTGTCTGAGTGGGGTATTCATGTTACACTGCGGCATGGTATCTCAGTGGGCTAGGACTATAAATCGGCATTAGTCCAGACTAGTACAAGCAGCCACACACACACACACACACACACACGTGCATGCACGTCGCTATATAAGTGCAATAATCTTGGACGCGACGTGAAACCCAATTTCACCTCACCTCACCTATAAGAAATAAACAACTCCCACTCGTCGAAAATATTCCAGCTACCTCAAGGTGTCCTGCAAACTGGTAATGGAAGAAGGGCAGGTAGTTTGGAGGACAAATTCTTGCTTGCTTTAGGGACGAGTCTGTTGTAAATTTAGCAAAAGTATTTTTAAAAGGATCAAATTAGATTTACATCGACCTTAACCACATGGAAATGTTCCGAAGTTCGTGCTAAGACCAAGTCACTCAGAGACATTTTCAGGGAATGTAATCATTCCCTGTAGGTTGACATTATAATAGGGACACAAGATGACAATGTGGTTCAGGGATAATTAGCACCTTGTAAGAGCGACTGGATTTGAAGTATTTCAGTTATATCATGACATATCAGGCATGCGTTCAATAGGCCTAGGCGCTTTCTGAGCGCTTACTTTGCGCTCTCCGCGGACGTTCGGGTGCAATCGAACGATGTATCAACTGCCGCCGGCAGAGGGCGCGGTTTTCAAAATGGCGTCAAAGACTGATTTTAGCAATATTGTTGAACATTATGTATGTGAAGTTTTATTGTTTAGAATAAAGATACAATAAATTACCGTTAGTTAGACGGTCACCGATTAGACAACACAACTTTATTTTATGGCATTATCGTGATATACGTCGGACCGGACTCTTGTAATCCTACCGACTTATTTAACATAGTGAGTGAGTATGGTTTTACGCCGCTTTTAGCAATATTCCAGCAATATCACGGCGGGGGACACCAGAAATGGGCTTCACACATTGTACCCATGTCGGGAATCGAACCCGGGTCTTCGGCGTGACGAGCGAACGCTTTAACCACTAGGCTACCCGACCGCCCCTATTGAACATAGGAAAATCAAAATATAGACTGTGATTTGCCACTGATTGCGTACAGGCAATTGTCATTGACACTTGCCACTGAGTGAGATTTCTCACTTCGCTGTACAAGTCACTAATTAGTGGCAGATGGGCTTGTCGAGATATCAGTTCGCAATATCCGTTAGTTCGCTGTACAGAGTTTGTTATGTACGTAAATTTTATATGATAATATAGAGGAGATAAATCGTGGATTTTGTAACAGTTCGTTGTATCCGTTTGTATGCATGTTGTAAGATTCAACTAATGGATCGATGACTTGGTGGATTGTGTTTCATTGTACCCCGACGGCCATTCGTCACCACTTGCCCCTTTCCGTAACCTGCGTGTCCCGGAAGAACATGAGTTGGTCACGAATGCCCCGACGGCATGGGAACCACTGGTAAAGTTGTCAGGGACAAAATCGATTATTTACAGGCCGCCCTGATAATGCTGGTATATTGTAGAGTGCAGTTAAAAAGAACAAATCGCAATTTTTTAGATTTATTTTAGAGACGACACACACCTATGAAAATATCTGAATTTACTTTTTCTTTGAGTTTCGACAAGTGAAGGTTTATATCGCATAATAATATATGTCAATTGTTTACAAAAAGAAATCATATGAGTGTTATTGGGACAAAACTGCAACTTCATACCAAATTTTATTATACATGTATCTTTTTCACAAACAGACGCATGAAAAGTATTTTTCTGTACTGAAATTAGCATGGGTTGCAAGGAAAAATACTCCGTGCTGCGAGAGGCTTCAAAATGCAGCTAAAACAATTCGGTTTTCCTGGTTTTAACAAGTGACAAGTCTTCCAATAAATGTAATTACTAACGTGGTGGTATCAAACTTCACCACTGAGTGCGTGTATGTCTAACAAGTTGTTCCATGTCGAAAAGTTAATGTTCACAGGCCCCGCATTTGTCCAAGTCCGCCATCTTTGTCCCTCGGCGTGCCTCCTCCTCAGTATGAGCGGCGGCGCAAGAAAGTGCTCTCAGCGTGCGTTTCGTTCATTAGGAAATATTCGGAGGTGCTCGCTAGTGCCTCGGCACCAAACGGCTTATTGAATGCACCTCAGCTTGATGATGGAGATAGTCACACACGATCAGACAGGTCACATATTGTAGGCGTGGTGAAATGAGGTTTAACATGGCATTCAAGATAGTACACGTATGTAATGATGTGCCTGCATGCATGCTGGCTTCAACATGGTTGCTTGTAGTAGTCTAATGCCGATTTTATAGTGACAGTCCACTGAGATTCCATGCCTCAGTTCAACATGGATACCCCACTCTAACACAATATACTGACCTTCATTTCACAGGCTTTTTTTATCCCCTTAATTCCAAGTGCCAGGCGGGGAAACAACAAGTTCCATCTTTTAATGTCTTTTGGTAGTGGGGGCAACCACCAACCCTCGTCTCTCCGGGCAGGCGCTCTATCCATTAGACCAGGGAGGTGGTCTGACATACTTCAACCAAATCAACATTTTTGTGATATTATCCACCTCCCCGAGGCAATAGTGTCCATGAGCCGTTTTATTAAAGTCTTTGTTTCCACTAGGCTTTGATATAGGCAGGTGGATGGCATGATCATGGTTAAAAGATTTTCACTACCCAATTAAATAGGTTCGTTCAAATTACTTGGCATGACATTGCTCAGGTCAGTCAGTTTGTTTGTTTGTTATTTAACGCCACACTCAGCAATATTCCAGCTATATGATGGCGGTCTGTAAATATGAGTCTGGACCAGACAATCCAGTGTTTGAGATCATGAGCATAGATCCACGTAATTGGGGTCGATGACATGCATCAACCAAGTCAGCGGCCCTGACCACCCGATCAAGTTAGTCGCCTCTTACGACAAGCATAGTCACCCTTTACAGCAAGCATGGGTTGCTGAAGACCTATTCTACCCCGGATCTTCACGGGTCTTCAGTTTTCTGGGAGAAAATCAGTGTAAATACTGTATACAGTGCAGGATGCTGGTCTTCGTACTGTAAAACTTCCATCTGTACTTCTGACATAGGCATGCCACAATAGGTTTGCAGTGGCCAGAGACTGTATACAATGCATTTGATTACTTATTATTCAGAACATTAATAGTTACTTGTATGCTCGTCGCTATATGGCTGAAATAATGCTGATGCCACGTTAAAATTTTAATTCACTCATTCACTCAAATTGTATGATTCTTTTTTGGTTTGTTTATTTTTATTTTTTTATCCACCAAGGATGGTTGGTTGGTTTGTTGTTTAACGCTGCACTCAGCAATATTCCAGTCAATGACGGCGGTCTGTAAATAATCGAGTCTGGACCAGACAATCCAGTGATTGACATCATGAGCATCGATCCACGCAATTTGGATCGATGACATGCATCAAACAAGTCAGCGAGTATGACCACCTCCACCAAGGATGGAGCAGTCTGGCAAATACAAACTAAACCTTCTTTTCTTTATGTTATCAATATCATTGGTGCTTTTGGTCAGTTTGTATTGAAATCAGAATTGTCATTCCCAAATTTCTTAACCAATACTTTTGCTGAAAAAACATCCTGGTCTGCCATGCACATTCTGACAAACTAAATCAAACACTCTTACCATGCTCACGATATCAAATCTCGGGTTGATAATGATCATCAAAAGAGAACAAACAAATCTTGTGTTTCCAAGTCTGATATTACAGTCAATATATATGGGATACAAATCTCAAGCAACCATTCAACAAGATTATGACGGCTCAGGTCCGAAGTCACACACTGACCTGCTGAGAGTAGACAATCACACTATGGGGGGGGAGACAAGGGAGGTAACTTCTCTTGCTTTAACAATGTTTCACAATGTAATGAATGTGCAACAACATGAACAAAAGAAAATTGGCTGATGTTTTCAACAACGTTTCCATGTGTTTAGGAACAGGTGAGAGAGTGAGTTGGGTTTAATGGTGCTTTGTAAGTATTCAAGTTATATCACAGCATGTCACCTTAATTAGAAAAGACAGTGATGCAGGTCCCAACAACTCATGAACACAGGCATGGAGCTGACAAACCTAGAAACATAATCGGGGCAAACCTGAATTCGAACCCACAATCATAGGTTTCTGGTGTGCCCAAGAGACAAAGCTTTGCACAGAAAACTGTGGTGGCCGTGGCCCTAGACACCCATGCCCCTAGAAAATGGTGAAACTAAATATGTGATATATAACATATTCATCTACTTCTAGCCATTGGCACCATAATGTCACATTGGTTTCTTGCAGTGGTGTGTAATAGAAGCCAATGAATGGTTTGAATTTTGAAGTGTGACTAGGATAGATTCTCTGTAGCTTTCATCAATCCTGAAATCCAAGACACATCTGAAACCATCTGAATCAAACCCAGGGGAGCACTCACCACTTGACTAACCAACCAACCCCTATGTCTCGCAGAACCTCTGCTGACCTTTTGGGCAATAGCCTCTGGTCAGCCTGAAATGATTTTTTTCAAATTTGACCTCGTATCCAATAGCTCACTTGGTAGAATATGTTCATGTTGTCCTATTGCTGGCCTTGTCCCACTAGCACTAAGCTCTCCTCTCTGACATCAGACATAACATACACAACCAGCACACATCACATCACTAGTTCTTCTCCTTGCCATACTTGTGTTTGTAACGCAAACTAGACACTATTGTTGGCCTATGAGGGAAGGCAGTCTTTCCACCGAACATTGTATCCGTGTCTTTGTCAAATCGTAAAGGCTCCAATTGAATGTGCAAGTTTTTGGGCAGGTCCAGCTTCGCAAGGTCATTGTAAGCAGCTGTGTTTCGGACCGGTGTGGAGAAGTAGGCGAGGACGTCATCCATCGTTGCCATGCCGTCCAATGCGAGGTTGGGAACGGTGTGGTCCAGATCCCTCATCAGCCTTGTCAGCAGCTGCAACACAACATGGGTTGTCATCCTCTTGTCATTGTGTTTGTTTGTAGTGTTATGTAACACTCGGCACTTATTCAGCCACATTATGTATACATGTTTTGTTGTTTTGCTGTGTAAGGTAACACTCCGCAATATTTCAGCCACATTATGTATACAAGTTTTGTTGTTTTGTTGTGTAATGTAACACTCCGCACCTTTTCAGCCACATTATGTATACAAGTTTTGTTGTTTTGTTGTGTAATGTAACACTCAACAATATTTCAGCCATATTATGTATAAAAGTTTTGTTGTTTTGTTGTGTAAGGTAACACTCAGCAGTATTTCAGCCATATTATGTATACATGTTTTGTTGTGTAATGTAACACTCCGCAATATTTCAGCCACATTATGTATAAAAGTTTTGTTGTTTTGTTGTGTAAGGTAACACTCAGCAGTATTTCAGCCATATTATGTATACATGTTTTGTTGTGTTATGTAACACTCCGCAATATTTCAGCCACATTATGTATAAAAGTTTTGTTGTTTTGTTGTGTAAGGTAACACTCAGCAGTATTTCAGGTATAATATTTATACACGTTTTGGTAACAAGGTTTCACTGCGTCTGTTACTATGGTTACTAAGTATAGGTAGGCAGCAGCATTCCAGGATGATAAGACATCCACAGTTATGTCCCTTTGTTGGGGAGAAAGCACATTCTCTTTGTGAGGGAGTTTGATTTAGTGCCACAGTACTTCAGTCCTGCCACGACATACTAGCGTGATGTGGGAGAAAAGCAACACATGTTAATTGGTTTCTGTCATGACTGAGGGATGCAACTCTGCAAATAGTTGAATGCTGAACTGGGTCTTTAACCTATTTTGACCAAAACCCTGTCAAAGTATTGCCCCATGCCGGAGAAGGTACCAAATTTAATGATACATGCATTAATACTTTTGGGAAAGTGTACCCACAAGCTTTTGAGTGAGATTTTTTCGAGTTCATAATCTCGACCTTTGATCTTCTCACTACAAAAGAATTTCCCAGATGCATGGAGATTTAGACCATTGTAGGCAATAACTATTCATCATGAAATATGATACAACTTCTATTGAAAATTTGCTCAAATGTGATCTTGACCTATACCATAAACGCACTTGATGTTTGAGGTGATATAATTTCTGAATACACATGTAAAAATAAAGATCCATGCCTTCTGAGAGAATCATGGCTCATAAACAGACAATGATATAACCATAGTTACAAACTGTTGACCTTGACCTCTGATTAATCTTGACAAATCTTTTTCAAATCAAGGTGGCATTCTAGTGAAAGTATATACAATGTTTAATAATAATTTTGTTCTATCTTGTGACCTTGACCTTTGACCTTTGACACAAATAGGGTGTGCTAAGAGAATGAGGGCCATTTGGAGCTGTCCATGCAAGAATAATCCCTGTCAACAAACTCTGTGTAATAATCTTTAGTAAAATCACAGGTGGTGATTTCAACAAGCGATTAAAGCAGTCTCTTTTCACTGGACTCCAAATAACATCAAAGAAAGACTACAGGTACCCTTGGCAGCACACACCCATCTCACTAAAGCTCACCTTGAACTTGACCCTCCTGTCTGCCAGGTCGACCTGCCTCCACTCCCCCACACTGTCCCCGCACACCTGACTGACGAGCTGCTCCAACCTCTCCTCCAGGTCTCCAGGAGGATCATAGGCCTTGTTTGTCCTCACTGACCTACAACACGAAGGTCAAGATGACCACATCAGCACTCATCATCACTGCTTTAAGTCTTGTTGACACCACATCCACCAACACCCCAGTTTACATACAGCTTGTAAAACATCTTTGGGATTACATGTCATACACCATTTGAAAGGTCTAACCCTACTGTTACCAAATATGAAAGTTATGTTTATCACATAACTTAATTAATGCTTAATAAATAATTACCGTATTCGATGTAATAAGCGCCCCGCTCTAATAAGCGCCCACGGTGACATTTGCTAATATATTGGCTGGTGAACAATCCCAATTAGCACCCCTTCCGATTGATCAATGTACACAAGACTAATTTATTCGTGTATAATACGCACTCGTGTGCTATATGTACCCTTAATTATGGGCAATAAAATTCTGGAAAAATATATCTGTCGTACATAAACATTTCAGGCTGTCAGCATAACCATGAAATTTATCTTTTCCACCAAAATAATATTCTAATAAGAGCCCCCTATTTCTAATTTTGAGAGCGCCCTGGGTGCTTATTAAGTCGAATACGGTGCTTATTAAGTCGAATACGGTGCTTATTAAGTCGAATACGGTGCTTATTAAGTCGAATACGGTGCTTCAATAAACTGCAGGCTGTCAGGGCCTGCTGAAATTTAAGACTATCAGCCCGAGAACAAATCTGTCGGCCTCTGGCCAATGTCTATTTCGAACTCTTATACAGACACTATGTACAGTAGTCTCCATCTTCAAGGAATAAATCCAGCTAAGGTCTGGTTTAAGCAAGAGGGAAGCCAACGAGTGTTCAGGCCAATCAGTGTTCATAGAACAAGCACGGCTGTACTGTTTCTCACTGAATACCATTTGCAACATGTGTCAGCCTTGCAGCAGTCTGTTTTATGCATTGTCAGGCAATGGCAGGGTTTGCTCAATGTGCAGGCATAGAGTAGGGCATATCTGATGTCAAGGAGTCATAAACAGCCTCATCACCAACATATTAAAAGTTGTTTAAAATGATTATCTTAGGAAAGCTTTTTTACATAAGAAATATTACACCATGAGTGAGTGAGTTGGGTTTAACGCCGCTTTTAACAGTATTCCAGTTATATCGCTGTGTGTCAGCTTAATGTGGGAGGAAAGCCCGAAGTGATGCAGGTCCCAGACGTTTACCACTTCGGTGAAACCCACAAGCACAGGTATGGTGCTGACAAACCTAGAAACATAATTGGGGCGAACCGGGATTCGAACCCACAATCATAGGTTTCTGGCGTGCCCAAAGGAACGCAAGTCTGCACAGCGAATCGCGGCGCCTTAGACGACTGGGCCACCCGTGCCCCCTATTACACCAAGAACACCTAGTACCTAGTTCTACCCTTCCCATGTGAGTAAGCTTAATAATAGTACCAAGATATTCAAGTGGTTTACATCAAAGATTTAAGACGTCAGTATTACTATTAATAATTTCAATGCTGTCCTTGTTCTAAGGTCTCAAACAATTAACAATGTGACAAATGTTTCAGTGTACAATTGTCTTGAGTCCATTACGTGGTTTTCACTCAGTATTCATCAACCTTCAACTTTATAGCCCTGAATCCTGTTTAATGGCACTCTAAGCACAATGTCATGCTAGTTGTTGCTAAGGTAAATTGGGATTGTGGACCCTTCACTAAATACATCTGTCGCATTACGTTTTCTTCTTCAGTGACTGGACACGATCAGAGGTAGTTGGACCATCAAAATTCACTCGTTTTCTAACTTCTCCCTCTTCAACTTCCTTGTTCTTCTTACGCCAGAATAATGACCTGCTTTGAGACACGACCTGAAACATATCAAATAAAAATAATGTATGACTGAACGTGTCTATAAGCATCAGAAATTTACGTTAGCCTGCAACCAGTAAGGCCAGTGGAATATAACTAACTAGCTCATTTTCAGGCTAATAAATTTTCAGTCACTTGCTGTGACTTAGTAATGTTTAGTCTACTTGCCTTTCTGGCTAATGAAGTTTTTTGCATCAATTATTATTCTGAATTATTATCCAAACACATTCAAATTTTCAATCTTAAAGAGATGCTCAGACTGTCTGATTAGTGAATTGTTGGACAAGCACTCTTTTTCAAAAGACATGGGACTAGTGCCCTTTGTCATGCACACTTTTTCCAGATTTCAGTTAGTGTCGCGTTGAGGATCGAATTCACGTTGCCAGCTTGAGGCTAAGCTTATGACTTAATCCAATTAGCAATCACCATACCATGGTACCACAGGCGCTATCACAAATAATTATTGCTCATTTACCAAGTCATCAGCACGCGATTGTTTGTAGCCAGTTTCTCCAAGAGGGAGAAATGCACTTGACGAGGTGCCCAACCCTTAGGATCCACAGGAACTCGATGATAGCGTGTATAGCATAATATTTCTTATTGGAAAAAATAACACCCCTATATCTATATATGTACAGAGGTTTGTGATATTTTTCTATACTGATATATTATGTTGAGTTCCTGTGTTAGGATCGTTAATCAGGGCGTTTGGTCGGAAACAAACTACCGCACAGCTAACCCTAAGGATCGTGAAGCTGTGCCCGGTACACCGCCCAAGACGGGTGAAGTGCACCACGGAATTTGACAAACTTGTCGTTACCGATTGTTCCGTGTACTAAGTCGATGTGTCAGCGCACAGATAGTGTTCAACTCACAACTGTCGTGACCATTGAATCTCAACACGGGCAGGCTCGCTGACTTGGTTGATGCATGTCATCAATCCCAATTGCGTGGATCGATGCTCATGATGTCAATCACTGGATTGTCTGGTCCAGACTCGATTATTTACAGACCGCCGTCATATAGGTGGAATATTGCTGAGTGCGGCGTTAAACAACAAACCAACCAACCAACTCAAAACGGGGCCTACACTACGCTACAGGAAAGACTAGAAATCTAGTCATGTGTTGCGATGTTGATCTACGATGAGGACCCGATAAGTCGTATAACTTTGGTACAGAAAATGACACAGACTTTAACCATAAATAATGTGCATTAATTAAACCTTACCGGAACAGTGTATTTCGAAAGCAATAGACCATAACTCGATGCAAAAGGTCTCAGCATGATCCCTATGGGGGCCGCCATCTTTGAAGAGTACTTAAAACCTAACTCATAGAGTGAAATACGGATCAATAACGAGTATGTCATTAAATGTTATTATATTTATAAAACAAGGACATATTACAAAAATATATTGTTAATCATAGGCCTATGCTTGACTGAATTATATCATGCAATGATTTAGACTTCGACAATCAATGTATAGACAAAATTCGTTTCCTAGAGTTGTACATTTACAATTCAAAGGGGAAGAACTCTGCAGCCTTACTAGAAATTCCAAACAGCAGCTTTATTAGATCGATAGGCGAAATACATTTTCATCCAAACACTTGTACTGTCAACAATATGTTAACATTTGTGTTTGCAACTTGTTTAGAGAGAGCTGTTAAGCAAATATTTCAGGTGAAATACACTTGGCATGGATTCGTCTGCTTGTAATAGGTTGTTCAGTCAACAGAGCGTGGTCAAGGCGAACATGGTGACAGTCATTGTCGACATCAGACCAGCAGGTACACCAAATCTAGTTGTCTTACTCACGTTTACTAATTTTAGTTTCTTGAAGTATCTTTTGGAACACGCGATGAATATTTTATGTATTTGAATGTTTTATTGTATGTGGTGTTGTAGCCTGTTTACAGTGGAAGTGTGCCGAAGTTCATTATGACCCGACACAAATATAGGATGCGTTGTGCCGAAACAAATCTAACAATAATATTGTTCAGTGACTCTACCTGAGACCATCTACTTTATTGCCTCTGTCCATACACAGTCTGACATCGTGAAGCAATTGTTTCTATTTGCTTACTTAGGGCTATTAACTCATACTTCAATTTCTCTGGAACACCCCTATGAAAGTGACATTAGCTACAATCTTAAACCCGGCGATTCCGGGGTAGAACATGTCCATAGAAACCTATGCTGGTCACAAGAGGGGATGGTCTGGCGATTGGTTGGTCAGACAGGTTGACTTGGTTGATGGCGTGTCTATGTACCCCGACTGCTTGGATCGTTGCTCACAATATCAATCACTGGATTGTCTGGTCCAAACTTCAGGCCACTATCATAAAACTGTAATATTGATGAGTGCAACGTTAAACAACAAACTCAAACACCACTTGCTTTTTCTCCAATTCTGACGGAAGTTACATTAAGCGCAGATTAACTGCTTCAAAAAGTCTTTAATGTTATACAAACTATAAGTGGCGGGATTTTTCTAAATGTCTGTGCAAAACCATATTTCAGAGGGAGAAATGCCCTTGACGAGTTGCCCAACCCTTAGGATCCACAGGAACTCGATGATAGCGTGTATAGCATAATATTTCTTATTGGAAAAAATAACACCCCTATATCTATATATGTACAGAGGTTTGTGATATTTTTCTATACTGATATATTATGTTGAGTTCCTGTGTTAGGATCGTTAATCAGGGCGTTTGGTCGGAAACAAACTACCGCACAGCTAACCCTAAGGATCGTGAAGCTGTGCCCGGTACATCGCCCAAGACGGGTGAAGTGCACGACGGAATTTGACAAACTTGTCGTTACCGATTGTTCCGTGTACTAAGTCGATGTGTCAGCGCACAGATAGTGTTCAACTCACAACTGTCGTGACCATTGAATCTCAACACGGGCAGGCTCGCTGACTTGGTTGATGCATGTCATCAATCCCAATTGCGTGGATCGATGCTCATGATGTCAATCACTGGATTGTCTGGTCCAGACTCGATTATTTACAGACCGCCGTCATATAGGTGGAATATTGCTGAGTGCGGCGTTAAACAACAAACAAACCAACCAACTCAAAACGGGGCCTACACTACGCTACAGGAAAGACTAGAAATCTAGTCATGTGTTGCGATGTTGATCTACGATGAGGACCCGATAAGTCGTATAACTTTGGTACAGAAAATGACACAGACTTTAACCATAAATAATGTGCATTAATTAAACCTTACCGGAACAGTGTATTTCGAAAGCAATAGACCATAACTCGATGCAAAAGGTCTCAGCATGATCCCTATGGGGGCCGCCATCTTTGAAGAGTACTTAAAACCTAACTCATAGAGTGAAATACGGATCAATAACGAGTATGTCATTAAATGTTATTATATTTATAAAACAAGGACATATTACAAAAATATATTGTTAATCATAGGCCTATGCTTGACTGAATTATATCATGCAATGATTTAGACTTCGACAATCAATGTATAGACAAAATTCGTTTCCTAGAGTTGTACATTTACAATTCAAAGGGGAAGAACTCTGCAGCCTTACTAGAAATTCCAAACAGCAGCTTTATTAGATCGATAGGCGAAATACATTTTCATCCAAACACTTGTACTGTCAACAATATGTTAACATTTGTGTTTGCAACTTGTTTAGAGAGAGCTGTTAAGCAAATATTTCAGGTGAAATACACTTGGCATGGATTCGTCTGCTTGTAATAGGTTGTTCAGTCAACAGAGCGTGGTCAAGGCGAACATGGTGACAGTCATTGTCGACATCAGACCAGCAGGTACACCAAATCTAGTTGTCTTACTCACGTTTACTAATTTTAGTTTCTTGAAGTATCTTTTGGAACACGCGATGAATATTTTATGTATTTGAATGTTTTATTGTATGTGGTGTTGTAGCCTGTTTACAGTGGAAGTGTGCCGAAGTTCATTATGACTCTGACACAAATATAGGATGCGTTGTGCAGAAACTAATTTAACAATAATATTGTTCATAGACTCTATCCCCATACCAGAGACCATCTATTTTATTGTCTTTGTCCATACACAACCTGACATCGTGAAGCGATTGTTTCTATTTGCTGACTTAGAGCTATTAACTCATACTTCAATTTCTCTGGAACACCGCTATGAAAGTGACATTAGCTACAGTCATAAACCTGGAGATTCCGGGTTGGGAAATGTCCATAGAAAACCTATGCTGGTCACAAGAGGCGATGGTCTGACCAACCAATCGCCAGATCATCGCCTCTTGTGACCAGCGGTTGGTCAGACACATTGACCTGGTTGATGGCATGTCCATGTACCCCGACGGCGTGGATCGTTGCTCACAATATCAATCACTGGATTGTCTGGTCCAAACTCCAGGCCACCATCATAAAACTGTTATATTTCTGAGTGCAGTGTTAACAACAAACTCGAACACCACTTGCCTTTTTCTCCAATTCTGAGGGAAGTTTTTATTAAGCGCAGATTACCTGCTTCAAAAAGTCTTTAATGTTATACAAACTATAAGTGGGGGGATATTTCTAAACGTCTGTGCAAAACCATATTTCTGATAAATCACTAGGAAGAGACCAGGCTCGTGGACTTGGTTGATGCATGTTATCATATCCTAATTGCATCGATTGATGCTCATGATGTCAATCACTGGATTGTCTGGTCCACATTTGATTATTTACAATACGCCTTCATATAGCTGGAAACTTGCTGAGTGCGGTGTTGAACAACAAACAAACAAACCCTGGGTTTGATGATCAAGAAGTAACTCATCAGATTGTTTGAAGCAGCCATAAAATGTCTCCATCAACCTTGACTTCAGAAATTCATTTTAACCCAGGGACTTCAGAAATTCATTAAAACCGTAGTGTCACAGTTTCAGGTCCATGGGGCCTTTATGATTCATTTAATCATTAATGAAAACTTTTCCCCCAAGTGAGCCAAAATATGTCATCTAACAGTCTGTACATCAATGCTTGCCATGCTTACTGGTCAAGACAAACAACGAAAACATGCATTGTTTTCTGTGAAAACAAACCCCATTGCCTCACTCATGTTCTGATGTTTCTCCTCTGCAGGGAAACCTGCTGGATGCGTGTGTCAAAGTATGCATACCTTGAGTGTTGCTATGAGGTGATTTTCAAATTGAACTAAATTGTGAAATCGGTAAAATCTTGAATGATTTACTGCCACTGACAATTGCAACCAATAAATTTACAACAGTTTCTAATGACACAAAATATGCATGACAGATATTTGTTCCAACATACCCTATTAGTGTGGATCAGTGGTAACTAATAGTCAGTGCTACGATACCTACGATACGATATATAGTACAATTTAGGCATGTCTCATGCTGGAAAGATGTAATAATGGTGAAGCAAGGGATGAATGGGACTGGCTTGTGTAGATACAATACAAACTGTGAGGTAATAGAAACCTCTGTCAACTGTTTCACACCTACTGTCCCCATTTCACTACAGGTTAGGGGGGGAAGGGGGCATGGGTGGCCCAGTTGTCCAAGATTACCTTAATTTGAATCCAAGTTCATCCTGACTATGTTTCTAGGTTTGTCAGCACCAGACTTGTGCTCATGGGTTTCACCAAAGTGGTAAATAGCAGAACTACTTTGCTCCACATTAAGCTGACACGCCATGATCTAACTGGAATACTGTTAAAAGTGCAGTGCTACAGGGTCACGTCCATGTAATTTGCGCACAGAGGGCACATCCCTTAGGAGTGTCCAAAACATATGATCATGGGTTCAAATCCCAGATTGTCACCGATTATGTTTCTAGGTTTGTCAGCACTGTACCTGCGCTCATGTGTTTCTCCAAAGTGGTAAACGTATGAGAGCTGCATCACTTTGGGCTTTCCTTTCACATCAAGCTGACACACTGTGATGTAACTTGAATTCTGTCCCAAAGCCGTGATAACCAATCTGACACGCACGCACAGTCTCACACACACACACACGCACGCACGCACGGACGCACGCACGCACGCACGCTTTCACTCACTCACTCAATCTCACACTCACTCACTCAATCTCACACTCACTCACTCAATCTCACACGCACACACAGTCTCATACACACGCACACACACACACATACACGCACACATACACGCACTCACTCACTCATTTACATTTACTCACTGACTCAAGTTTCTGTTGCAGGTGACAAGCAAGGACACTGACGATGTAATTGAGAAGCGTTCATCTTTGTAGTGTGTTGAAGGGAAGGGACACTGGTGTAGAAGTTCAGAGACCACCATGTCAGTGATAACAGTCCAGCTTGGTCAGTGTGGCAACCAGATTGGTGGTCAGTTCTTCTCCACAGTCATTGAAGATGCTTATTCCAAGCCATCTCAGGTTGCGGTCAAGCCCCACCAGAATCAAGAATACATCGACGAGACCCTGGACCGATTCTTTACTCAAAGGGAGACAACTCTAGCCAAGGCAGGGACAGTCGACGCTCGGGCTGTCATGGTGGATATGGAGCCCAAGGCAATAGCCCAGACTTGCTTGGAGGCCAAGAGGAGTGGGAAGTGGAAATATCCCGACAAACAACAATTTTGCCAGAAGCGAGGTTCCGGGAACAATTGGGCTCATGGATTCTGCGTGCATGGACCGCGTGTTCGAGATGACGTGTTGAACATGGTGAGGCGGGAGGCAGAAAAGTGTGACAACTTGTCTGGGTTTATCTGCTACCTGAGTCTGGCTGGTGGGACCGGGTCCGGTGTCGGTGCATTCATGACGGAGGGCCTTCGGGATGAGTATCCGCACTCATTCATCATGAATCAAGTTGTGTGGCCGTACCAGACAGGTGAGGTAATTGTGCAGAACTACAATGCCATGCTGACTCTGTCACATCTGTACAGCACGTCCGATGCTATTGTCGTCATGGAGAACGACAGTCTGCACAAAATCTGTCAACAACTGTTAAACATTAACAAGATATCTTTCAGAGCCATCAACAAGGTCGTGAGCCACAAGCTCGCCAGTTTCCTGCAGCCAGCCCAGTCAGACAGTGATGGCTACACCTGCTCAAATGATCTTGGTAGGTTGTTAGCTGAAGTCAACTGACATTCCCATACATACCATGCAGCGTACAATAGGGGGAAAACGATGCAGCAAGATCACGATACGATACATATCACGATACATAGGTCACAATATGATACATATCACCATACATATACTTACATCAAATCACATTCTTCTTGACTATAAATATTTCAGAGCAGGTTCCAAAGGAAACGCTAGCTAAAGATCCATGTTTGTAGCGTCTATTGTAGCAGTGAACTTGAAAAGCTAATTACAACACATTTTGTAATATTTAGCTGACAAAAACGCTGGGGTTTGGGGTGGGGGTTCAGTTAATGAGTAGTAAGTAATTTAGTTCAGTAAGTGTATCAACTTGTATCAATACAGAAAAAATGTACCATGTATTGTATTGTCGCATGAAAACTCACAATGTACCAGTGTATCATTTCACTCCTTGTGTACAACATTTATCATGAAAGCCAAGTGGTCCTTGTCATTACCCAGTGTTGAGAATTTGTGGGATCCCTGGATTCAAAATATACCACTCAAAAGGAGTTTAAGTACATATCATATTATACTATTCATGCTGGGGCGGTCGGGTAGCCTAGTGGTTAAAGCGTTCGCTCGTCACGCTGAAGACCCGGGTTCGATTCCCGACCGCGTCATACCAAAAGACGACATAAAATAATATTTGGGTTACTTATCTGCTTTTGAGTAGTATATATAGTGGCAAACCTCAAGGACACTAAGATGTTTCTAATTGACATTGGTCCTTTTTTTGCTCACTGGAAATTTGAAATGTCAAAAATGGTGTTATTTGCTGTTGTATTGCTTGTCATGACATACTCACTCCTGAAGTTTGTTGGATAGTGATGTAGATAGAATCTGTATCTGTTACCATGACTACTGCCATTCTTTACTCCAGGGTCAATGTTGCACCATCTTGTCCCCCACCCGGAGTATAAGCTCCTTACACTGAAGAACATCCCCCAGATGTCGGAGCGAGCCATGGAGTTCAGCACCTACCAGTGGCACGGCCTGCTCAAGCACCTGCGGCAGATGCTGGTGGCTGATGCTGCTATGGAAGAAGGTAGACCAGTGTTGCAATGACTGTATTCATGAAAGGTCACAATTTCAATGTATTTGGCAGTGTTCGAAATTTGGCTTGAAAGTCAAGGAGCCCTTGTCTTAATGTTGTATGTTAAAGATTAAGGAGGGCTTTAGATAGGAACATACATAGGAGTGAGTGAGTATTGATTTACGTCGCTTTTAGCAGTATTCCAGCAATATCATGGCGGATGACACCGGAAATTGGCTTCACACATTGTACCCATGTGGGGAATCGAACCCAGGTCTACGGCGTGACGAGCAAACACTTTCACCACTAGGCTACCCCACCGCCCTTATACAATAGGGGCAAACCGTCAGGACCCCAAGCCTAGACACTGAATTTATTCTTTGCCAGTTAAGTGATACTACCATGATGTCTAGTGAATATGGTTCTTGGTGTTGTTCCACATGCAAATGAATCAGGAAGATGGGGTTTGCCCCCCCACCCTGCAGTTCTCACCCCTCACTCCGCAATGAATCCATCTTTGTCTGGGTCCATCAGCCCACTCTGTACATCACATGGGCAAGGGGATGCTGGGTCAGCAACCTGTGCTGGTCCTGAGAGCTGACCAAATGGAGTGGTCAGGTTTTAAGGGCGGATCCAGCATTTTTAAAAGGGAGTGGTCCAAAATATCAAAATCCCCTCTCATTGAGGTGGTGGGGAAGGTCTACAACATACTACATTCGGTATTCAAAAGTTGGGGGTTCGGACCCCTGCCCCCCTACCCCACCCCCCCACCCCCCCACCCCCAAAGGATCCGCCTATGCCTTCTTTGATGGCATGTCATCGTACCCTGACCAGTGTATCGTTGGTCACAATATTAATCACTGGATTGTCTGACTCGATTATTTACAGATTTACAGGCTGCCATCACAGAGCTGAAATATTGCTGAGTTTGGCATTACCATGGTTACATATTAAACAAACAGAAAGAAACAAGGTAAAGGTGGGGCAGTTGTCTTCTATACACCATCATGTCGGTGTAGTGCAAGACATCTGGAACCTCCACACATGTATTGAGCAAAAACTATATTTTTATGAAACTTTGTGCTCAGTCTCATCTGAGGAGTGATGTTCTGTTTTCATCTTCCCACAGGCATCAACTGGGACATCCGGGCTGGGTCAGCGACTCCCCGAGGGTCCATCAGGTCAAATCGGTCACTTGCCAACACCCTGATTCTCCGTGGTAAAGAAGTCGAGGCTGCAGATGTTGCTGCATTTCAGGACAAGAAGTTGTACACAGATTGGATGCCCCCAGAGTTTACACTGAATGTCATGAAACAACCCCGTATATTCAACCAGTACGAAAAGTCTGCCGTCCTTGTCAGTAATAGCCAGTCTCCGATTGGTTCGCTAGAAAATACAATCAGTCGAGCATGGACGATGTTCTCGTCACGAGCGTATGTGCACCAGTACAAGAGACATGGTTTGGCTGAGGATGACTTTATTGACAGTTTTGTGGCACTGGAACAGGTGCTTGCTAGTTACAAGGCATTGTGATAGATAACTGCCTTCTAGCACGTCAATGTTAGGCAATCAGACTTCTTCTTTTCTTACAAGATTGAGAGATTATTTTTCAAAGACCTTGTTGGTTAAAATAAAACAGAAATTACAAATACAATTTATTTTTTAACCATGTCTGTGGATAGCCCGAAGTGATGCAGGTCTCGGATGTTTACCACTTTGGTGAAACCCACGAGCACGGGTATGGTGCTGACAAACCTGGAAACATAATCGGGGCGAGCCTGGATTCGAACCCACAATCATAGGTTTCTGGTGTGCCCAAGGGACGCAACTCTGCAAAGTGAATCGCGACGACTGGGCCACCCTTGCCCCCCATTTTCATGGAAAGGTTAAAAATTAATAAGAAAGAAAAAGACATATGGTACTTGGAAATTGTATTTTAATAACACAAACAGAGAGAAAGATAGAGATCCCCTTTGTCTTATTTCATGTGTGTGGTACCGCCTCCGTGGTCTAATGGTAGAGCGTCCACCCAGAGAGCGGAAGGTCCGGGGTTCGATCCCTGACCGCGTCATACCAAAAGACGTTAAAAGATGGTACTTGTTGTTACCCTTTCTGGCGCTCGGCATTAAAGGGCTATAACAAGGACTGGTCGGCTCGGAGTCAGTATACTGTGTCTCGGTGGGGTATCCATGTTCAACTGCGGCATGGTATGTCAGTGAGCTAGCACTATAAATGGGCATCAGTCCGAACTAGTACAAGCAGCCTCACACACACACACGTGCATGCACGTCGCTATATAAGTGCAATAATCTTGGACACCACGTTAAACCCAATTTCACCTCACCTCATGTGTGTGGTAACTGTGGGTGAATTGGAAGGAAGGGAAGGAGAATCATCTTAAAATGTTGATTTTCTGAAATCCTGGTTAAACATATTTGGAATAGGCTCTGCTTTTATCATGTGAATGAAGTAATTAAAGTACAACCTATCAACATCATTTCATTTTCATTTTAAAAGAAACTAAATCATGATCCTGAAGTGACATTTCAAATGTTCTTATTTATAGCAACAACAGTTACTTGAAGTGTCATAAAATGCTTAATTCAGCCAAAATAGAAGTTGAGGTTAAGTTGTCATTGGAATCTATTAATTTGTAAGAAGCATGACTAAAGAATGTAGAATATCCTACCTACATATATGTCACTGGTAAAGAATAAGATGTTTCTCACACTTTCTAGATGTTTAATGGCATTGTTTAATACAGAAATATTTGAGAAATGATAAAATAGGCTTGAATGGTGGTACATTACTGTATATAAAATTCAAGTAATTTTTATTACATGAATTGAATGTTTATACATTCTTGGTAAGTAATTTGTTTTAAATGTTATTGTTACTAATAATTTTATTCCTAAATTTTGTGTTAGGCAGTAAGGTTGGAGGGCAGTTAGCTAGATCCCATGCCTTACTTAGAGGCAGTGCTTAGAGACGTGGGTGCCGTTGTACAAAGCAACCTTAGCGCTACTGTCGTAAGTCTATGTTAAGATATGGGAGTTTCGATCACCTTAGAGCTAAGATCGCTTTGTTCAACAGCACCCAGGTCTTAATATTTATGAACCGCCTCCGTGGTCTAGTGGTAGAGCGTCCGCCCGGAGAGCGGAAGGTACGGGGTTCGATCCCCGGCTGCGTCATACCAAAATACGTTTAAAGATGGTACTTGTTACCCTGTCTGGCGCTCGGCATTAAGGGGCTAAAACAAGGACTGGTCGGCTCGGAGTCAGTATACTGTGACTGAGTGGGGTATTCATGTTAAACTGCGGCATGGTATCTCAGTGGGCTAGCACTATAAATCGGCATCAGTCCGGACTAGTACAAGCAGCCACACACACGTGCATGCACGTCGCTATATAAGTGCAATAATCTTGGACGCGACGTTAAACCCAATTTCATCTTACCTCACCTTAATATTTATGAAATATTGTAGTACTGTTCAACTGGAAAGGCATGACACTGACATGTTTCCTTGGCTGAGAGATCATTATTTTGCATCAGTAGTATCTGTGCAGCACCATACAATACCTTAAAGGATGGTAACCAAGGGGCTGAAATGTTTGCTGGTCACACCTAAGACCAGTGTTTCATTCTCTGTACGGGACCAGTGTGTGAATTACATGTTTTGCTTGCCATTCTGTTAATATTACAAAATCGTGGCGTAAAATCATCCTCAGTCACTTACTTATGCTGTACAGTATCATATGATTCAGACCCGTAAAGATCTGGGGTAGAATAGGTTTCCAGCTACCCATAATTGTCCTAAGAGGCGACTAACGGTATCAAGTGGTCAGGCTCGCTGACTTGGTTGATGTATGTCATCGTATCCTTACTGCATACATCGAAGCTCATGATGTCAATCGCTGGATTGTCTGGTCCAGATTCGATTATTTACAGACTGCTGTCATATAGTTGGAATATTGCTGAGTGAGGCGTTAAACAACAAACCAACAAACAAACAAAACATTCCTGTCAAGGGATGTGATATACCAGCCAAGATCTAGAGTTGTGTTTCCAATTAAACACAGAAGGATAAGATGATAATTTGAAATTGTTCGTTTCTTTGGTCATATGAAATAAACTTTTCAGGGATTTTACATATCTATAACAGACAGTAACAGTTCTAATCACCATACATTTTTAATATGAGCAGCTTTAAGAGATTGATCGAAGAAAGGAGCTGGAATATAAGAAAGACCCTGCCAGCTTATCAACCTTTGGAGTTGTGATGTTATAGGTGCACAGCGTCTTCTATATGTTAAATACATTAATGTTTTGATTGGTTTCTTTTCTTCTGAGATAATCCCTTGAATGATGCCGATACTTAACATGTGGTATTTATTGACTAACGGTGTGTGGGTAAACTAGTGCTGTATCAACACTGCCACCTCATATAGGCATGACGTAATGTACTCAACACCTGTAATAATAGTGGCCAACTGACTGCCAAGGCACTGGCCATGTTATCCTTAGTATTGGGCTATATTTCCACACCAGCTGGGTCATGTTCAAAACGGGACATAATTATTACCAGGGTCAATGGATCAGTGTGCGCTTGATTAAAATTCTCGGGTCCCTGGGGAGTATACAACCCAAGCTACCCATGAGGGGCTAGCAGGTCAATAGTCATCTCATCCTGTCTGGTATCCATTCACTGCTGGAGGGACAGAGGTATACCTTGAACAAAGTCACTTGCCCAAGGAGACACCACATGTGCTACATGTGCTTCAAGGGGATCGGGTGGTCAGGCTCGCTGACTTGGTTGATGCATCGCATCGATCCCAACTGCGTGGATCGATGCTCATGATGTCAATCACTGGTTTGTCTTGTCCAGATTCGATTATTTACAGATCGCCGTCACATAGGTGGAATATTGCTGTGTGTGGCGTTAAACAGGGAACAAACAAACGTGCTTCAGTGTGCCCCAGAATTTCACGGCAGTCAAGGAATAATGCAGTTTGCGTTCACTGCGTTCTGGGGAAGAGATCTGTCATGCAGCGTTGTAAAAGTGTAAAATACGATGTTATTTCTTTCTATATTTGGGGCGGTCGGGTAGCCTAGTGGTTAAAGCGTTCGCTCGCCAAGCAAAGACCAGGGTTCGATTCCGATGTGTACAATGTGTTTGGATCATTTCATGTGTCCCCACCGTGATATTGCTGGAATATTGCTAAAAGCGGCTTAAAACCATACTCACTCACTCACTCATTCTATACTCAAAAACTAGGAAATAGTCCCACAGGAAATTTGTTGTATTTGTTTTACAATGTTATCTGATTATATAATGACCGACAGGGACTCGGATGCCCATAATGTTATGTAATTATATAACGACAGACAGGGACTCGGAAGTCCACAATGTTATGTTACTATGGTGGTCAAGTGGTAGAGCGTCCGCCCGGAGAGTGGAAGGTCCGGGGTTCGATCCCCGGCCGCGTCATACCAAAAGACGTTAAAAGATGGTACTTGTTGTTACCCTGTCTGGCGCTCGGCATTAATGGGCTAAAACAAGGACTGGACGGCTCGGAGTCAGTATACTGGGTCTGAGTGGGGCATGGTATCTTAGTGGGCTAGCACTATAAATCGGCATCAGTCCGGACTAGTACAAGCAGCCATACACACACACACTCACACACGTCCATGCACGTCGCTATATAAGTGCAATAATTTTGGACGCGACGTTAAACCCAATTTCACCATCACAATATAAATATATAACGACCGACGGGGAATCACGGTCTATGTACAGTTATGTGCAAGATGACAACTGCGGGCTTAAATTTTCATGATAAAAAACAAGCTATCTTTGACAATAATATTTTGTAACAAACATATTCATATGCAGATGCCCTCACACACGAATACGAGTCAATGTATGACGCATTGAATTCTCACGTAGAAAAAACGTGTTATCCACTTAAATGGGTCTTAGATTTTGAAACGACGTAATTTCCAAGACGGCTTAGCTCTATTCTAATATTTGTCATTTTCAATTTAAATGATGCCCCACCTCAGCAAAATGACATTTTTCTAAGTTTTCGAACTTAGAGCATTACGAGATGAGATTTCTTTGATGATCCAAACAACATGCCCAATGAAATGTATTTATTTGACCTACAGTTTTCCCCTAAAAAATTCACTTTGATTCTGTGCCCCTCATAAGGCCACCTTGACCTTAGCTCGGGTAACACTACCCCTGAAATCCCAATCGGCACGTACGGTGAGAACATTTCGGGCTTAATCGGGAGGTAAACGGTGCAGATCGGGTCACACACTGAACTCGGTGGGAACAACAGATGCGACGTTATTGTTCTCGGATATAACGACCTAGGCCGATATGTGCCGATTGTTCTGCGATGCCCTTTAACTATGGAAGCAAAATAGCCAATACCCTCAACCCTTTTGTGGGCACGTACAGAGAATTATGGAATATCCCCAATCTTGTCTTTATTTATTTACGTACAAATGAATATGGACCCACCCCTCGGAAACGAAATTTGCTGCCCTCTACATTTCCCAGAATACCAATATGAAGAGAACATGAATTTAAAGCAAAAATATATTACAGCACAATATTTCAGGGTAGATATAAAATTTTCGTTACTGATTACAGTTGCAATAATGTGCACATTACATGAAGCGATTCAGTAGGGTTTTGTTATTCCAGAAATATGACACTGAACCCTGGTTTGCGAGGCGAGCGAACAATTTATCCGTTGGCTACAACCCACTCATTTTTAAGTGTGAGAAAATTCCAAAGACCTTGTCTCGATCTACTGTATTGTTGGGAGACACAAAACATGTATTTTTCGAAAAATAACCCAGCATGTGGTAAATTCGTGAAATACTATTCAAAGCGGCGATCCACTCTGTTGCTGTGTTTGAGATTGACTCAATGCTGAACAGAAAGAATACTCGGGTGAGTGAGTTGGGTTTAACGCCGCTTTTAACAGTATTACAGTTATATCACGGCGTGTCAGCTTAATGTGGGAGGAAAGCCCGAAGTGATGCAGGTCTTAGACGTTTACCATTTTTGTGAAACCCACGTGCACGGGCATTGTGCTGACAAATCTAGAAACATAATCGTGGCGAACCGGGATTCGAACCCACAATCATAGAAAGAATACTTGAAGTGGCATATGACAGGATGATGGCTATGGCCGTGTTCTCCTTGTTGGTATTCTGACGACCATGAATAATACGCATATTTCATTTCATCGATTCGCTCTGCAGAGTTACGTCCCTTGGGCACGCCAGAAATCTATGATTGTTGGTTCGAATCCCGGTTCGCCCTGATTATGTTTCTAGGTTTGTCAGCACCATACCCGTGCTCGTGGGTTTCACCGAAGTGGTAAACGTCTGAGACCTGCATCACTTCGGGCTTTCCTCCCACATTAAGCTGACACGCCGTGATATACTAGTAACTCGAATACTGTTAAAAGCGGCGTTCAATCCAACTCACTCACTCACTCACTCCACTGTAGATGATATAACAACACCATCAATAGAATGATGTCCCACGGTCTTTTTGTCTATTGGATAAATTAGACTGCAGCAATTGAGGGGATTTATCTGTTTCTCGTGGATTACTGTTGGAAGCCCTTTGAAAGCCCAAATTCGCTCGGGGTAGATTTTCTGTAAAGTATAAGTGTAAAACAATTTTAGGGAGATCATATAACGTGACATTCCTCCATAGTTGGCAATGTGAGGTTTACGCGATATCTACGACTTTCCCATCTGACGAGAGGCCAGTCACATGACCGCGTAGGAAACGTAGGAATGACACATACGTTTTACACGAGACTGGATATGCGCCTTCAAAATTATTGCAATTATATAACGACGTGCATGCATGCATGCGTGTGCGTCCGTGTGTGTTTGTGTGTTTGTTTGTGTATGTGTGTGTGCGTGCGTGCGTGCGTGCGTGCGTGCGTGCGTGCGTGCGTGTGTGTGTGTGTGTGTGTGTGTGTGTGTGTTTGGACAAGTCCAAAGCAATAGCGGTTTTATAGATGTGGCTCACAGATACCATGCCGCACTTTAACATGGATACCCTACCCAGACACAGTATACTGACTCCGAACCGACCTGTCCTTGTTTTAGCCCCTTAATGCCGAGCTCCAGGCAGGGTCACAACAAGTACCATGTTTTAACGTCTCTTGGAATGACGCTGTCGGGGGATCGAACTTCCGACCTTCATCACTCCATCTTGTAAAGAATGACTTGGTAACATAAAGAATACTCGCAACTAGGGGTTACTGATGGTCTGGCCGCCATGTTTTAAAACCCGAGGAGCACAACAATCAGTTATCTCCCCTCCACATGGTAAATGTGTTGCATGTATATCCACGGCTCCCATAACAGCGTGGAACTGACCGGCTGTAGCTGACAGCATCACCGCATAGCAGGTGCAAGCTTGCCACGTAATTTCATTTTTTAAATTATTATTGAATATTGCATGTCAATATGGCTACGGCTATATATATAACGCACGCAGAGAGACACGTAAAGCAATATATCACAACGGCACGATGATAGCAGCATTTGCAATAGGTGTCATACTAGGTAAGATCTCTACGCCATTCTCGTAAACTGTGATCAGCGGCCTCGTTTTCAGATGTGGCCTTGACCCTTTGAATGTCTTGTTGAAGCGTTCGCTCGTCAAGGCACGGCTCTCTGCATGATGTTTCACTGAAGTACTGTCAATAGCTGAGTGAGCTTGCATTTACGCTGAAATAGCAATACTTCGGCATCGTCAGGGGAGTTGCGTCCCTTGGGCACGCCAGAAAACTATGGTCGAGGGTTCGAATCCCGGTTCGCCCCGATTATATTTTTGGGTTTGTCAGCACCATAACTCAAGCTCCTCACAGCGATAGCCCGTTCGCGGGGCTGTCTATACTATCGCTGCCACCAGTCATAACTCCCCACTGTGATAGGTGGCCACAACCATGCTTGGAGTTGAACTCGCAACCGAATGACCGTTATTATTTACAAACAAGTGACGACTGTCGTGACGCCGAATACACTTATCGCTGCTAAATTACTTTCTTTGTTTGTCAATTTGAATTTATGTTTCATTAAAACTATCATGTTATTGATATAGTAAGAATGTAAGGGAGAAGTTGGTTGATTTTCCGTTAGTCTGCAATCTCGAACCAATCTGATTATTAAAACAACAAAGTAAATTCATCTGGAAAACATGTCAGTCGTAAACCTTTTCAAAATGAAGTACGATGGCATTCCAAAAGACATAAACAAAAGTATAAACGTTACTTCATTTGGGGTTAGAGGGCAAATTTCAAGATTCTTTGTAATGGCCGCGCCCACACTGGTGGCAGCGATGTTACCCAGAGTGTAACGAAGGTGTCACGCGCTGGGACGGAGCTTGCACCATACCTGTGTGCATGGGTTTCACAAAAATGGTAAACGTTGGGTAAACGAGTCGAACCCAACTCACTCGCTCTCTCACTGTTATTGTTGAATGTTATCATGTAGACCGATGGCGATCAACAACTATATAATCAGTGGGATGTAACGCAATCCTATCACGATTATTGCGATAATTTATATAAAAATGAACAGTAGTTATTGTAGCAGTTGATATGTGTACATACGAAATATATATATAAATAATCATGAAAATATTGTTGAAAACATGCCTAACTGTAAATTATTACACCAAACATGTTTCTGTTAATCAGACACAACCATTAAAGAGAAGCAAAGTCTATGATATTGGTAATTGTTAGACAGATGTAAATAATTTTACAACACTAACTATTACTTTGAAAAGATGAAATATGATGAAATATCAATAACTTTACTAGTGTAGATTTACAAAACATGTTTACACAATTCGGTCCAGCCACTGTGTCCCTGACATAATAGTTCGATCAATCCTAGACAATGTAACATATGATGTGCCTACAAAAGAGTTTGTATGTCAATCCATTTAATTTAGATTTTAAACATTTAACGTGTATACTACTCAATATCTCTTGTTCCTTGAAAAAAATAACAAAATTTATGTTTCGGAAGTAATTGTTGTGAAAACATATTACTTGTGGTATGTTTGTTTTCTATATTTATATTGTATATAGAGAATCTCACCCGAGCGTCTTTTGATATCAAATATATCAACACGAGTTGATAAAAGTGGAAAAAGTCCGAGGCTTGCCGAGGATTTTTGCCTCTTTTATCAACGAGTGTCTATTCTACCAGGGTAGGAGGCAAGACAGGGTACAAGTCTATTCTACCAGGGTAGGAGATGGCTGCCCACATCCTCACACTACCACCGCAAATCTATCCACTTCCTGTATACAGTTTCATAAATAATGTTCCCTGCGTCGCCTGTACACACGACGTCTACCATCCGCACGGTGAAGCATAAAACATGACTCGTCACAAAACCAAACTTCGCAGTTGTGGCCATACTCAGTGACCTTGACACCACTGACGTCGCAGCCGACGATGCAGGTCCGTCAAAATGACACTTCGAACTGGTCGTCTAGCGCGCATATCTTCGGTTCCTCACTGTCTGGGCTGATATCCTACGCAATCATATTGCCGTAGTTGTAAAGGTGGCCCTGGTGGTTCTTTCACGTAAGTGCTCTAGAAGTGATACGTGGTAGACCGGATCTGGGAAGGTCACGTGTTATCCCGTGTGCCTGGTAACGGTTCCACAGTCTTGTAATGGTGCTTGGTGTTAAGAGGAAACACCTGGCTTCAGCTGACGACGATTCTCCTGTTTGCAGTCGGACGATGACGTTGTTACGTTGGGCTTCCGTCAGTCGTGGCATGTTTTCGCCGTAAGACTGTGATGCCCATCAAGTGACGTTGCACGTGCATGTCATGTTGGTGTGTTTCGGCGCTGTGATCTCACGTGGTTGTGTTTTTTGTGATTTTTTCCATCTTTTCATTACATTTCTGCAGTACCTCATTCTTTCCACACAAATCAATCCCAATCCATGTAGAAACGACCAATTCATTTTTGGTATTAATTTTGTATGGATGTCGGCAACACTCTGTCAGCTATTTACGATGTTACTTCTTCAGCGTTTCTTTTTTTGCAGAGTATATTTATAGGAGGTGACACGTAAACTAGTGTTGATGGTTGCAGGTATAATCTTTTGTGACACGATGAATAACGACAACATATAATAGTTAATTTTTACAGCCAGATTAGCCAGTCTCGATTATCTGCCAAACCCCCAAAAATCCATTGGGCGTAAAAAGCAAAACTAGAATGAAATAAAGCGACCAAACCATTTTAATATCCAATAGAAATCTCTGTATTGTGAACATGTGTTTGTGAATCACTATCAAATAGTGATGATACCAGGTATCCTGCCCCACCGGTGGCACCCGTCACAAACACATGTCAAGTCAAGTCAATTCTTCACCTGAACAAACACGAGAACAGATGGTACAAGTCAATATAGGGAATTGCATCGGACATTATTTTTGTCACTGATGCGTCAAATTTGGAAATGTCCTCCACATGTCTACCTTATAACCTTTTGAAAGCTTTACTGAGGTCTTGAATGTTGTAACCTTGACCAACCAACGCTGTCTAAATTCTTGATAGAAAGATCATGCACGATTGTTTCTAAAGAGTTGTGAAATGTAACCAAAGGCTGGAGCTGCTGGAATATTGCTCGACATGACGGGAAAGTCATCCCTCTTGTCATACAATCTTGTGGAAAGTGTTTTGCCATTCTGAATCTTTATGCATAGATCTAAATAGAAAGCAGATAAGGCAGTGATATCAGTGATGACACTTGGTGTATGATCTGCATATTGGTAATATTTGTAAAAGGTAACATATTTCATATTATGGATTTCGGATTTCAAAGAATTACGCAACAGAGACACTTGATCGATAACACTCATAAACTATTAACACATGGAAGCAAGTGTCGCAACGCCATGTCCCTAGCAGAGTGCTAATGTTTCACGATAGTCTGTGACTATTTTTTCTGTGTCATATCTCCTAAGCTCGATAAATCAGGCGGTGGGGTGGCCTAGTGGTTAAACCGTTCGCTCGTCACGCCGGGTTCGATTCCCCACATGGGAACAATGTGGTATGCCCTTTTATGGTATCCCCCGCCGTGATATTGCTAAAGGTGGAGTAAAACATCACTCACTCGGTCAAATCACTGAGAACACAGGTATTTAATGTCCCCCCCCAGCCACGCGAACATGGCGAAGACGTACATTCCTGTCTCCAGCAGGTAACCTAAGGTGAGACATGAATGTCGCAAGAGCTGTGACCGCCATCAGCCAGAATAACAACTGAATTCGCCCCTCATTCCCAGAATCAGACGCTGACTTTGTTGCTGGGTCAGTCTGTTCTATGGTGCAAGGCCTGCTGGGCCTTCTGACGTAACCGTAGTCCCAAAATGTCCCAGACGTGCCAAGTTGGATTGAGGTCGAGGCTCGCGGTAGGCCAGGACAGAGTGCTGATGGCTTCTTGAGGGAAATCACGACGGCACGAACGCGATGCGTTCGGTCATTGTCATCTTGCTGAGAGAGGATGGTTGTCAAGTTGAGGCACAAGAGTAGAAGATATCCGTCTGATATTAAGTTATCTGGTCAGATATCGTTGTCCAGATTACCCCTGACCGCGAGAAAATCCAAATTTCAGTCATAAGACCCACAGCCTCCTACGCCAGAGACCCACATCTCCATACAACCACTACAATACCCACATCGCCATACCAGGAAAAACTCCCTTCCCTATACCAGAAGAGGCCCACGACAAATGGAACCTGGTCCAGTATGTTACTTTGAACATAGGCTGTGTTTTTACGCCTCCGCGTCAGGGCTATTGTAGAATATTCTAGATGTGTATTTATATTCGCGCTGTAAGATGTAATTTTAGTCATTGTTGATCCTCGAAACACGACGGTCATGATGCTTTTTCTTAGATTTTAGTTACGTTGTTCTCATCGTTTTCTGTTTCCTTGTGTTTTGTGGACATATGACAGTTTTGTTGTTGCAGTCTGTCAGTTTCCTTAAATTTTTGGTGAGAAAAAAACAGAGTTGAAAGATCGTAAATTTCGTGGTTTATACCGACAGCCTGAAATGATACAAAAGAAAAGTATTATACACAACAGATATATTTCCCAGAATTTAATTGCCCATTATTAAGGGTGCTTATAACACACGAGTGCGTATTATACACGAATAAATAAGTCTTGTGTACATTTATCAATCGAAAGCGTGCTAATTGGGATTGTTCACTAGCCAATATATTAGCAAATATCGCCGTGGACTCTTATTAGAGCGGGGCGCTTATAACGTCGAATACGGTATGTTACCAGATGTTCAGATTGCTCCACGCTTTAATGGGTATACGTTTCTTGAACAAGCTTGGAACGCCAGTCCAATTCGCGGATTCACGAAGTTTTACTTTTTTTTCTAATGTCGAAGGTACTGACACCAAAGAATTTTTTCTTAGGTATAACGCTATTTGTAATTATCTATTGTACATTTTATCACATCCTTTTATCAGAAGCAGGTTCAAACTATGTTGGTTTTCTGAAAACAAATCTACCAGTCCT